TCTGGCGAGGGCCCGCGCCCTATAGCGAAAAACCTCTCCAAAAAATAAAAAAAAAAAGATTTTACATAAGGACAGGACTGGGCTTTCTTTTTTTTCTTTTTGTTTTTCCTTTCTTAAGGATTTCTGCTATAGGGCACGTGCACTCACCAGAGAGATAGAGACAGAAAGCAAGATATTACCCTCCTGGGGGGATGGCCATGCTGCAGTCCCTTCTCCATTCTCCTCTTGGGATTTTGGGCACGTACGCACACACGTCCAGCGTGAGTTTAAGCCACCGGGTCTGGGAGTCGAACCCAGTGGACCACTTGGGAGTCCGGCGACAGCCATGACGCTGTCCGCTAGTCCGAGGAGCACCCTTTGTACTGTTGCCCTTTGCCTCCAGTTGTGCTTGGCACCACACCAGAAATGCTACCTGGACGTGTCGCTGCTGTTACTTCCGACGGCACTCGGCCATTTACCTGCCCGGCAAGGCCGTCACAGAACACGAAGGCCTGGAGGAGGCACGCCGCTGGACACAGTGCGTGACAAGGGAATCTGTCTTCTCGCTCGGACCTCCCTATCTGGAAACTTCCTGAAGCAGGTGCCATTTTCACAGACTTGTGCCCCGTCCATCACACGTGGAGCCGGAAGCTTTGAGAAAGGCACCCCCTGTCGGTCACCCGGGATGCCCAAGGCAAGGACCAGTCCTCAATGTCCTGCGGAAAGATCCATCACAACCATGGGGCGTAGGCACAGAGGCCGTGTGGGGTGGACACCTATGGGTACTCCACAGACCCTCTGCCCAGTGTTCACGTGGGTTGAGCAGAGCTCCTCTACACACAGCCGGAGGGACCGGGAGGTGGCATGGTGGCTCAGGTGCTGGACTCCCACATGGCCGACTGCAGTTCGAGTCCTGGACCCGGGACTTACTTTCTCACTTTCTCTCCCTCTCCCTCTCTCTCTGGGAGTGCACATGCCCTAAAGTTAAACTTAAACCATAATAATGGGGGGCCAGCAGATGGCATGGTGATTAAGCTGCTGGACTCCCACATGGTTGACCACGGTTCGAGTCCCAGACCTGGTGGCTTGCTTTCTCACATTCTTTCTTTCTTACTGTCCCTCTCTGGTCAAAATAAATAAGTGGATAAATAAAGTTAAATAAAAATCATTCTTTAACAGAAAATAGTAACGGCACCACAGGTGGCGGGGTGATTAGGGCACTGGACTCCCACATAGGTGACCCCAGTTCGAGTCACAGACCTGACCAGTTGCTTTCTTGCTTTCCCCCTCTCTCTAGACAAAGTAAATAATAGTAATGATAAGTAAAATTAAATCATTATTGAAAATAAAATAACAATACATAAAGTAATTTTCTATTTTGAAAAGGAAGACACAGCCAGAGTCCTCCACTCTGCCTCCCATTCAGAGGCCAGCTCTGGCTTCACAGCCCAGAGAGAAGCAGAGAGCTTGTCTCAAAGGAAGAGAGCCAAAGGAGAAAGCCGTCCGGCTGGGTGGTTTGCTTGTCCCCTCTTCTTCTTCCTTTTGCAATAACTGCTTTTCCGTATTTCTGATGAGCGTGTGCACACACGTGTAAGAATGGAAGAGACAGAGCGACAGGCCTCCCTACGGGCTACCACGCGGAGTCCCCTGCGCCAGCCCTGCAGCTCCTTGGGATTCTGGGCACGAGTGCCCGCTCTTGGCTTGTTCTCAGCTCAGCTGGGAGATCCGAACCGTAGCCGGCCACGTGGCCCCAGCATCGCTGGGCTGGCCCGGAATTTGTCTTTTTCTTTTCCCTTTTTTTTTTTTTTTTTTTTAAGATTTATTTATTTATTTAATCTCCTTTGTTGTTGTTGTTAGTATTATTATTATTATTCCTTGGTCAGACAGACAGAGAGAGAGAGAAAGGGAGAGAGAGAGAGAAGACTGCCAGGTCCAGGACTTGACCCGCAGTTGACCATGTGAGAATCCAGTGTCCTTAACCACCACACCACCTGCTGGTCTCCCTTTTTTAAAAAGATTACTTTTTAAAAAGAATTATTTTCTTGAACTTTATTTATTTATTTATTTTAATTTGACCAAAGAAGGACAGAGTGAGAAAGAGACAGCAAGAGAGAAAATGAGAAAGCAAGCCGCCAGGTCCAGGACTCAAACCACGGTCGACCATGTGGGCATCCAATGCCCTTAACCACCGTGCCACCTGCCGGTCCCCCCCGTTTTATTTTTTTATAGAATTATTTATTTAATGTAATTAATTTTTATTTATTTATTTATTTTTGCTATAGGGCACATGTGCTCACCAGAGAGAGACGGGGTGTGTGGGGGAGGGAGAAAACAAGCCACCAGGTCTAGGACTCGAACCATGTTTGGCCATGTGGGAGTCAAGCACCTTAACCACCACGCCACCTGCCGGCCCTGAAAGAAGCCACTTAAATGGAGCCACACAACGCGCTCCCTTTGTGCCTGGCCTCTTCTGCACGCGGCGCACGGCGGTGGGGCATGTTCCGTGCACACCTGGGGTTGGCACCTGCTGGTTATTGAGCAGGGCGACCTCACGGGGTGGGCCTCCCTTGTTTAGCCCTTCAGCGCTTCAGGGACATCGGGTTCTGGGACATGGTCACATGGGAGATTATGAGCCAAGTCCCTATAAATATCCACAGCAGGGCCTCTGTGGGGTCACACTTCCCCTCCTCCAGGGTAAGCGTGCGGGGGGATGGCTGGGCCACAGGTAAATCTGCATGCCACGTTTTAAAAAGAATTATTTATTTCATTTTATTTACTTTTTTTGGGGGGAGGGGAAGAAGTTTTTGCTACAGGGCATGTGTGCTTGCCAGAGAGACAGAGAGAGACGACAGAAAATAGAGAGACAGAGAGACAGAAAATGAGAAATCACCCCCCCATGGGGGATGGCCACGCCGCAATCCCTTCTCCTCCATTCTCCTCTCGGGGTCTTGGGCACGCACACACACGCAGCGTGAGTTTAAGCAGCCGGGTCTGGGACTTGAACCGCGGTTGACTACATTGGAGTCCAGTGACGTAACCAGGATGTCACCTGCTGGTCCCAAACCCTCCTTTTTGCCTGAAGTGGGTTTATGTATTTCTGAGAGAGAAAAGAGCAGGACCCCAGCAGGGTTTTCACCGCGACCCTCCTCCAGCCTTTCCCAGCCTGCCTTGGGAGGCAGCTCGGCGTCATGGGGCCCTGTGGGACTTCGTGATCTGTCGAGGAGAACAGGCAGGTGTGCGGTGAGAGAGGCAGACTCCCAGGTCTCTATGACTGAGAGTGAGCAAAGTTGGGGCCCAGACAGTCACCTGGTCCAGTCCTGGTGAGGGAAGGCGGGCCGACCTAGGGAGGCTTCCTGGAGGAGGCGCCACCATCTAAACTGAGACCTAAGGATGAGGAGCAGGGAGCTAGGTACAGAGGCGGAGGGGAGAGTACAGGTAAAGGCCGGAGGGACATCTGGTCTCGGCACAGTGGGACTCAGACTGCGTGAGTGCGGACTCCCTCCTCCTCCCCACTACCAATTCTGCCTGGCTTCAAGTCTACCTGGCTCGCTCACTCTTTCTTTC